GTTGGAGACCCCTGTAAGTCCAACCGCTGGCTGTAGCAGCACACCTACGTTTCAGACAAGTGGTTACCCAGTCTCAAAAATCTCCAGTGTTGGAGCACCCACAGCTGCTGAAGATAAGTTGTTCTCACTGTTAGGAAGTTTCTCCTTTAGTTCTAGGTTGCTTCTATCCTTGATTAGTTTCCATCCATTGTTTCTTGTGCTTTGGAAAATAAGTCGACCCCTTCTTTGTGGCAGCCCCTCAAATATTGAAAGATTGCTATCATGTCACCCTCTACTACTACTTTTCTCTAGCTAGCCATACCCAATTCCTGGAAATGATCTTCATATGTTTTAACCTCCAAGCCTTTAATCATCTTAGTTGCTCTTTGCACTTTTTCCAAAGGCTCAACATCATTTTTGTAATGTGACCAAAACTGGTTGCAGCATTCTAGCTGTGGAAATACTTTACCTGATCTTGATGCTAGCTTGAGCAATGAACATCTGCAAAAGAATCGCGGAGTTCAAGAGAGTTCAAGAGAGCTGTAAGTAATTATAGAGTTTCAATGTGGCATATGCCTCTTTAGGATAACAGCCCTTTTTTCTTAACAAAAAAATACTCAAGGTCAAAGTAGGCCTTTCAGAATATGCATAGTAGTTTATGAATATGTGATTTTTTAATAGATGAGTGTGCAGCTGTAGAGGAATTTTTAATACGGGCAGAAGCATGTAAGGATTTTTAGGATGGATGTTTTCAAATCAGTCTTCATGTTACAGCCATTAAATTGGCTTTTTCCAGAAATCAGAACCTAAAAAAAACGTGTTCATGAACATAGAGGTAAAACTCACGTTAATGAATATAAAGGTACACCCTATAAAACACCAATTTTATGGACTAAGACTTCATTTTTTTTTTGTTTCTAGTAAACAATAACAAGACACTGGATTTATCAATCATATGTATAGGATCAGAATGACCTGTGGAAAGCTCGACCATCTAGAAAATTGCTAAACTGGCCTCAAAGCGGGAAATGAATCAGGTAAGCAAACACACAATTCTCCGAAATCAAAAGGATGTTTCCTACCAGTATTGCCTTTGTAGAGCAAATATTGTGAGAAAGGCAATCCCATTTATTTGGGAATCAAAGTTTAAAATGGTATTTCTCTGAACAGCCAACTTTAGCTCTAGCACTTTTCGTGATGGTCAGCGGATATAAGATGTGGTGTGAATGTGCCATATGATAAATAAAATAATAAATAGCAGATAAAACAAACCATCATACCTTTAGTTGCCTCCCTTCGGTGTTATATTAATAAACTGCCCAAAATCATTTTGGACAGTGAGATGGGCAGTATTTAAATTTGATACATATGAACCTGTCCTCCTAGAAAGCAGGAGTCAACTGCTGGCCATGATATGGCTTGGTTCTGGTGGTGTATCAGTACAACCCTTACAACATAGCTTAACATAGCTTATGACTTAGTACATTGTGAATTTAGCTAACTGTGGAGTTTTCCATAGCCATAATTAATACCATGAACTGGAAAACAAATCTTTGTGAGTTGTTTGAGCACTCCAGCCTTTTGATTTCAGCTCAGTTAATTCCAGCAGTATGGATTATTCTGGCTGTGTTTATGATGCACTTAATAATGGTTTATTCAGACCAGTTTTCTGAACTAAAACAAAGTAAATAATAGACTACAGAGAATTGGAAGGGACCTTGCAGGTCTTCTGATCAAGAAGGTGACACTATACTATACCATTCCATACAAATAGCCACCTAATCTCTTCTTGAAAGCCTCCCATGTTCGAGCACCTACAACTTCCACCGATTAATTGCTCTGTCAGGAAATTTCTTAATTCTAGGTTGGTTCTCCATAGTTAGTGTTCATCCACTGCTTCTTATTCTGCCTTGAGGTGCTTTGGAGAATAGGTTAACCCCCTTTTCTTTGTGGCAGACTTCTAGATATTGGAACACAGCTATCACGTCACCCACTACTAACTAACCAAATTGACTAGATTTATAAAACGTGTTGACTAACCCCAATTAATTGAATGGTCTAATCTCTCTGTATGTCGTTTGATGGCTGGGAGGACATTACACACTGAATATCAAAATACTGGGGAGAACAAGTCCCACTATCAATATATTTTGATTTCTGTTTTCCATCCATGCCACTGGCACGGAGTCTCTTGGTTATGGGGAAATAGAGGGAGAACTCCAAGGCTAGTGATTGAGAGAACTTGTCAATATTAGCCCTTTTTGTCTATTTTTGGAACTGAACACCATGATAACTATTGACATGCAAGCTACCAGCATCATCTGATTACTGGATAAACCTTCACAGAACTTGTTGTAGTCACAGATATTCCCTTGGGTGTCTATTAAACAGAAAGCAAGAATGAATTTGGAACGTCTCTGACGTCCTATATGAGTTTGAAACAAGATTTAGCGAGAGACAGTAAAGGTATGAAAATAGGCACAAAAATGACAAATGGAACTGCAAAAGAACACAGGATTTGATCAGGAATAGCCATAGCCCTTAGACTTATATACTGTTTCACAGTGCTTTCCAGCCCCCTCTAAGCGGTTTACAGAGTCAGCAAATTGCTCCCAACAATCTGGGTCTTCATTTTACCCACCTAGGAAGGACAGGAGGCTGAGTTGACCTTTAGCCAGTCAGGATCGAATTCCTGGCAGTGGGCAGAGTCAGCCTGCAATACAGCATTCTATCCAGTGTGCCACCAGAGCTCTTAAATAGAGCTAAGAATATTTTAGACTTCAGAATGCAGCCCAGCCCAGCTCACCATTCAACTGTTGGAAGTTTGCACCCAAGCTTTACTTGGAAGCATTAAGAGAAACAATGCCAAAATCAAGCATCTTTTTATCCAGAGCCTATGAATTGCAGGGACATATACTGGCACTTGTGAAGTGGTTGGTTTCGCGTAACACCTTAAACCAAAACCAAACAAATCGCTATAAGTCGTAGCAGAAAGTTGGGATCCCTGGAAAGCTACAAACCATGTGTGGCTATAATATTTTAATATACACTGCCCAATTTAGATGACAAAAGACCCACATTTTCCAAATAAGACTTTCTCCCCCTTATTTTTTTAAAAAATATGAATAAAACCAGGAGGTTTCTGGAAGGCAAACTACTACATTTCCCTATTAACCCCTCAATAAATAAATAAAAGATACATTTGGTGCTGGGTGGGTGGAATAGCCTCAATACTCCAAGTAATCTCTCCAAGGTTTCCTGAATCCTATTAGGTCATCCAAATAGTGAGTAATTATCACTGGACTAGGTTGTATGAATCCAGCTTTGTGGTCTGCCAGCCATGATTTATATCCTGTTCCATATATGAACCATTTATTAACCTTGTTTATTGATTATTCAACGAACAACGTTCAACAAAAGATGACCATGGATTGTTTGATGCCTTGTTGCTTAACTCTGTCTTGCCGGATGAGAGCAATGGGATATTTTTTTTAACCTAATTAAAAAGCATTAAATAATAGAATGGATACAGCAGTCATTTGACTGAATATTTATCGTGACGCAGGCTGTGCAGGCTGAAATCTTTCCATATAATAGTCTCTTTTAATGTATTATTAGTAATTGAGATTCTTCAGAACAAGATAGCATCAAGGGAAGCCAAGATAAGAGCTTTTGCGACCAAGAGCAGCCGCAGCTGGCAGGAAGCAGCAATAAAAAGCTCTTACGATACAAGAGAACATTTTGGGAATGTTAAATCTAATTTTTGGTAGAAATAAGTAGTCTCAAATGCATACATTATAGATAAGCGATACTTATCTGAGTAGCAATCAGTAGTAAAAATTCAGTGTTCCGTTTGAGCATTCAGGAGGACAGTTTTTAGCATCAGGAGAGGCCATAGATGAAGGGAAGG